TCTGCTCCACTGCTGGCCTGGGAGAACTTGTGCTTTAGAGACAGTGTCCCCACAATAGTCCTTGTGTTGACAGGCATTCTGGGGTCCTTCTGTCCTGGGAAGAATGGTTTGGTAGCAGCTTAAGGAACTGCCCGAGAGGCCACTCAGCCCCACGTGGCTGAAGGCCCCTGTCTTGGCTATCCTTGCCTTGACTTCCATGTCCAGTGTATTGAATTGCTTGCAGTTCCTCCTGGTGGTTGCCCCTGCTCCCGTTTCTGCATGGGACCCTTTTTCTGCTGTCTTTGCTTCCTCTGAGTCCTCCTGCAGGTTTTAGCAGAGATGTCAGTGCTTCCAGGACCCCCCAAAATCTGGACAGGATGCTTTTCTCTCTGCACCCTGACTTCCCTGACACAGAACTCAACATCGGCATGGTTACTCCTCTGTCCCTAGCTGTGTCTCAGGCAGGGTTGCAGCCTCAGTGTCTGGGGAAGTGCCTGGCACATAAAAGGTCCTCAATAAAGATATATTAATGGATTGAATAGGAAAACAAACCTGGATTCTTTTTCGGCCTTAATTTCCCTTAGCTTCCTTTTTTTTTTTTTTTTTTTTTTTTTTTTTTTTATTTTTTTTTTTTTTTTTTTTTTTTTTTTTTTTTTTTTTTTTTTTTTAGTAAAAGGCTTATTATTTTTTAAGAGTGGCTTTAGGTTCATAGCCAAATTGAGAGGAAGGTACAGAGAGTTCTCATCTACCCCCTACTCCTCCCCAGGCACGGCCTCCCCCACTGTCAGCATCCCTCCACAGAGGGATGCATTTGTTACAGTTCTTGAGCCTACACTGACACATCATTATTAGGCAAAGCCTGATACAATGTACAACTCTTGTATGTTCCACGGGTTTGGACAAACATCCAATGGCGTCCAGAGCAGTTTCAGTGCCCTAAAAATCCTCCATGCTCTGCCTCTTCCTCCCCGACTCCCCACTGACTCCTGGCAGCCACTGATCTCACTGTTTTCCCTTTTTCAGAGTGTCATACTGTTAGAATCATAGGGTGTGATGTGTCTCCTTTCATGTAAGCTTTCTCTACATCCTTTCATGACTTGATAGCTTATTTCCTTTTATCACAGAATAAGATTCCATTGTCTGGATGTACCCTCCCTCTTTTATTTTTACAACAAAAAGAGAGGGCACTTTTCTGTTTCTGCCTTTAAAGGGCTATTGTTGGTCAGGCACGGTGGCTCATACTTGCAATCCCAGCACTTTGGGAGGCCGAGGCGGGTGGATCACCTGAGATCATGAGTTTGAGACCAGTTGGCCAACATGGCGAAACCTTGTCTCTCCTGAAAATACAAAAATTATCCGGGTGTAGTGACAGGTGCCTTTAATTCCAGCCACTTAGGAGGCTGAGACAGGAGAATTGCCTGAAACCAGGAGGCAGAGGTTGCAGTGAGCTGAGATGGTGCCATCGCACTGCAGCCTGGGCAACAAGAGCAAAACTCAGACTCAAAAAAAAGGGGGCTGTTGTTGGCTAGACAAGGGGTTGGGGTGAGTGGCTCTATTTTCGTTGATCATCCCCCAAGTTTCAGGGCTGGGCCGGGCCTCACATGGTCCTATATTGATCACTGTTGCCTACTCTGCATCATTTTGCTTGCTTACTATTGTTCAACATTTTTTGAGCACTTACTGTAAAATAGACACTGGCCGAAATACATTTATTCCATCACCCCTTAAATACCTATTGCATAGCACCTGCGTGTCAAACACTGGCTCCTAGGGCTGTAGCGCTGAGCACAGCCCTGCCTTTCTGGAGCTTGTATTTGATAGAAACAAACAAATGAGTACGTGAGTACATACCATGGCAGATGGCGATGAGTGGCATGGGAAAAATAGGTCAGAGTAGGGGGTACATGGAAGGTGCATGGGGCATTGTTACTACGTGTGGGGAGGTTAGGAAGGACTCGCATACTAGGTAACATTTGAGCAGAGTCTTGAAGTAGATGAGGAGAGTGGCCGTGTGGCTGTGGTGGGGAGGGAGAGACCTCCAGGCCAAGAGGCCAGGCCGTGATGGGTGTGTTCCAGGAAGGGCGAGGAGGCTGGGGTGGCTGGATTCGAGTGAAATGAGCCAGGAGAAAGGAGTAGGAGATGAGGCCATATACAGCTGTGCTGGCTGATGGAAATGTAATATGCATCATGTATATAATTCTGCGTTTGCTTGTAATCACAAAGAAAAAAGAAACAGGTGAAATTATTTTTATTACTACATTTGTTTAACATCATAGATCCCAAATTTAAAAAAATTATTGATGGGATACTTTACATTATCTTTTTCTTTTTCTTTTTCTTTTTTTTTTTTTTTTTTGAGACAGAGTCTCCCTTTATTGCCCCAGCTGGAGTGCAATGGTACCATCTTGGTTCCCTGCAACCTCTGCGTCCTATGTTCAAGTGACTCTCGTGCCTCAGCCTCCTGTGTAGCTGGTTGAAGTCTACCATGTGTCACCACGCCCAGCTAATTTTTGTATTTTTAGTAGAGATGGGGTTTTACCATGTTGGCCAGGCTGGCCTCAAACTCCTTACCTCAAGTGATCTGCTTGCCTTGGCCTCCCAAAGTGCTGGGATTATAGGCATGAGCCCCATGCCCAGCCTACATTATTTTTTTCTTATCACATTTTCAAAATCTGGTGTGTGTTTCAAGGCCTTGTGTAAACATGTGAAATGCCCTACCCACATTTCAGGTTCCACGGCCATGTGTGGTGAGTGGACAGCAGTTCAGACAGCACACATTGTCCTGCCGTAGCAAATCGGACAGCACACACATAGAGCTGTGCAGGCCATGCTAAGGCCCCCGGAATGAGATGGGGAATCCATGGGGGGCTTTGGAGCCTGAGAGCAATGGCTCTCTGCCTTAGGTTCTAGAAGGTTCTCTCCAGCTGCTGTGATGAGAGATTGTCATGAGGTGGGGTATGCGGGCAGAGGGCAGAGCAGGAGGCTGGGGAAGAAGGCTCTGAACAGGCACAGTGTCAGTGGTTCAGACCCAGGTGGCAGCAGAGGCGGTGGTGAGAAGTGGCTGGATTCTGGCTGTGTTTCAAAGGTAGAGCTGCCAGGGCGTGTGAATATGAGAGGAGTCAAGGAAGCACCGGGAGTCTTGGCGTGGGCTGCTGGAAGGATGGGGTAATGTTTCCAGCAGGATAAGGAAGACTGTCAGAGGTGGAGAGAATCCCCAGGTTTTGAGGGGAAATCTGGGTTTGGGTTTGGATGTTTTGGATGTGTTAGCATGAGATTCAGGTATTAGGCTTGCGGCAAGAGGTGTTGAGTTGGCAGGTGGACAGATGAGTCTGGGGCTTAGGGCAGAGGTCTCGTCTGGGGGTTTAAATCTGGGAGTTGGACGTGCAGTGATGATGTTTCAGGCCATGAGATGAGCCACGAGTTCCAGGGAGCAGGTGCATGTAGAGAAAAGGAGGCTGAGCCCTGGATATGGAAGATGATGGGGCCAGCAAAGCAGCCTGAGCAAGAGACTGGGGAGGCAGCAGGGAGCCCTGCAGGGAGTGGGAGGCACAGGAGAGGAATGGGCTGTGTCTAGTGCTGCTGATGGGCTGAGGAAGATGAGGCCGGTAGATTCCTGAGCATCCATCAGATGAGGCCAAACGCCAGGCTGAAGCGGGTCCAAGGGAGAACAGGAGGAGAGCAAGGGGCAGCTGGCGTAGACAACTCGATTGAGGGGTTTTGCTTTAAAGGGGAGCAGAAAAATGGGGTGGTAGCTTGAGAGGTATGTGTGGTCACAAGGACGTCTTTTTTTAATTGAAGATGGTGATGTAATACCTGATGGGAGTGGTCTAGAAGACAGCAAAATTATGATGTAGGGCAGAGAGAAAAAAATGAGCTATCGCATTCATGCTCACAAAGACCCTATGTGGTAGGTACTAATTTGCAGATAAGGAAACCGAGGCAAAGGTTCAGCCATTTGTCCCAGGTCATGCAGCCAGTGAGTATCAGGTCCAGGAGTTGAATGCTGATGGCTGAGTTCTAGAATGCTCAGTTTTGGCTTGTGTGCTCTTCTGCCTCTTGGTTTCCTGGCTGGAGTTGTGAGCTCTTCCAGAGTGGCCCCTCCTCTTGCCCTTTTATATCCAACATGGCACCCAGCAGGGGGCTGTGCAGAGGTAGGACCTCATCCGTCTTTAATGGGCAAGTGATTAGAACATTAGGAACTATGTGCTGGAAGTGCTCAGACACTGGGCCCACGTGAAAGGGATGTGTGGCCTCAGCCTCCCTCACCCCCAGTCTTTCCCACCACCCACCTGGGTCTTGCATGGAGAGAGTGGTGCTCAGGAAATACTGGGAAGCATTTGGGGCAGATGAAGAATGGATGAGGAACGCTGATGGTTCTCGCTGGCATAACTGTGCTATTGGGTGTGACTCGGGTACCTGTGCTGGGCAACCTTGGGCAGGCCCCTTGCCCAGATGGTGCTTCAGTTTCCTTATCTGTAAGATAACAAGGCTGGATTAGAGGATCTCCCATCTGGCTCTCACCAGAATGTCTCGGGAGGTCATGTGTGTGCTGTCTGCACCCAGTCTGCCGCATCATGAGCATCCTCTGACCCCAAGTGCCAGGGTCCTGCTGGTGGGTGCACAGGATCCCCATCGTTGTATGGTCCTGAGCCAGTCACTTTATTTCCCATATTTGTAAACAGGGCCTTACACATCTAGTTGCTTGCCTTTTAGGCTTGTGATGAGTTTTAAGTCCACCGTTGCCGTAGATCGCCATGGTACAGCTCGCCCTGCACCAGGCGTTTCCTAGGCACTCCCTCAACCTGTCTATTAACTCCTTGAATTAATTAATTAAACTCCTAACCACAGCTTTAGGAGATAGGTCCTGTGAAGTGATCCCCATTTCACAGATGGGGAAACTGAGGCACAGAATGGGTATATGGAAGCATATTGAGTACTGGGAGATACCTCCCAGCGAGGGGGCAGCTGCATCCTCCTCATGCCCGTGTGGCCTCTGACCTGCAGTCATGTTCCTTCTCTAGGGACAGGGGCAGACCCAGTGGTCAGCGCCAAGAGCAACCATTGCCTGGATGCTGCCAAGGCCTGCAACCTGAATGACAACTGCAAGAAGCTGCGCTCCTCCTACATTTCCATCTGCAACCGCGAGATCTCACCCACCGAGCGCTGCAATCGCCGCAAGTGCCACAAGGCCCTGCGCCAGTTCTTCGACCGGGTGCCCAGCGAGTTCACCTACCGCATGCTCTTCTGCTCCTGCCAAGACCTGGCGTGCGCCGAGCGCCGCCGGCAAACCATCCTGCCCAGCTGCTCCTACGAGGACAAGGAGAAGCCCAACTGCCTGGACCTGCGTGGTGTGTGCCGGACTGACCACCTGTGCCGGTGAGCGCTGTGGCAGCCCCGGGGGTGCTGGCAGGAGGGGGCTCACGTCGCCAGGCTGTGCTTTCCTTTCTCTTTATTCTTCGAGGTGCATTGAATTATGACCCTGAGTCCAGCAGAAAGGGTGTCAGAAAGGGCAAAACTGACTTGGACATGTGCAAAATGAATTGTCCATTTCATTCATTCATCCATCCAACTACTTCTTTATTCATTCATTTGTTCATTCGTTCACTCAGAACAGGTTTATCTTTTGCTTACTCTGTGCTCAGCTTCGGAAACCAAAACGAGCAACCCACAGAGCTTGTAATTTAAAACCATAGACTCCTAGAGCCTTGGGATAAGGGACTTTTGGGTGCAGCGGCTCATGCCTATAATCCAAGTGACTCAGGAGACTGAGGGAGGAGGATCACTTGAGGCCAGGAGTTGAGACCAGGCTGTACAACATAGCAAGATTCAGTCTCTACCAAAATGAGGGAAAGACTGAAAGATGAAACAACTGGCAAGTTACAGAGCAAGTAGCTTGTTGAAGGTCACATAGCGTTACCTTTCGGAGGGGGATTCCAGCTAAACTGCTTGCTTTCCAGTATTATTTAGTGCCCCAGGCTAAAATAGTGACTGTGGGTATGGAGAAAACTGGGTTATTTCAGAGGAGATTGAGAGGTAGCCTTGATAGGAGTAGGTGGCTGGCTGAAAGTCACCTGGAGATAGAACCCTGGTGGCAAGAACTGTTTTTGTTTTGTTTACTCCATGCCCTGTCCTGCATGTAGACCCTGGCACGTGGTGAACATTCCATTAGGTTACTTGAATGGATAAATGGATGGTGTCTGGAAGTTTCCTGGTTGAGTAACTCTAGGGAGATGGAGCCATTCAGGGGGGTGGTATTGGACATGCAGCATTTGATGGGGTTGGGGGACAGCTGCCACCTTCACAGCAACACCTAGGGGGCACTTGGACTTGTGGATCTTGATCTCAGTAATGAGGCTGGAAAGAAGAGATGGGTTTGGGAGCTATTGGGTACTTTGTTGGTGATTAAAGCCATGGAAGTAAATGAGATGGCCTAAGAGGGGTTGGTAGAGCTCAGGAGGGAGTCTAGGCTGGAGATGCCTGCAGATTTGGGCATTATCAGTGTTGAAGTGATAGGTGAAGGTTTGGAGCAGATGGTGGAGGCAGAAATCTACTGGAAACACCAGTGCTTAAGGGAGGGGCAAAGGAAGTGGGATATGAGACTAGAAGAGAAGGAGGTTTCAGAGGGAGGAGGTGACCGAGCTATGGTGTCTCACAGAGTGTGTATACGTGTGTGCTTGTTTGTGTGCGTGTGTGTGTGTGTGTGATGGAAGATGGGCCGCAGTGGGCCCACTCCTGGCAGCAGAAGTAGAGGCTTTGGGTACAAACCACCTCTTCAGAAGGAAGCAGGGCCAGGGCCAGGGGCACAGAGAGACAAGAAATGGAGAGGGAGAGCTGGGGCCCTGTGCACGCACAAGGGGAAGCACTTCTTTGATTTGCAGAACAGGCGCTCCTGGAGTTCACAGAAGGGCCTGATCCCAGAGCTAGCTGCAGGGCTCAGGGAAAGCTCTGTGAAGAAGGTGGGCTTTTCTCTTCTGCTTACTTCAAAAAATACATCCTGTGGCCGGCCTATACAAACTGATGGAGGCGACTGAAGATGAAGCTATACACATAACAATGAGGAGGGCCAGCCTTAGAAAGGAGGAGGGAGCAGATGCAGCCACGCTGTGAGCTCTGAGCTTCCTGGTTGCAGAGATAAAGGGGAGGCTTGATGGGCCACGTAACTCCCCAAACAGGGTAGACAGGAGCATGATTTGAGACACATTCGCTTCTTGTTCTGAATGCTAACATGACCTTGCGGGGCTGCGTCATACACAACTGCGTGGAACGATGGAGCAGATGGGAACTGGGCCTTGAAGGAACTGGAAAAGACCAGCGTGAACCCAAGCCCAGCACCCAACCACAGGAGTGGGCCAGGCGCACTCAAAAGCTGGAGGATTGCAGGGGCCGGCGACGGGGCCAGGCATCAAGCCACTCAGGTGTCTGAACTACGCATCTGGGGCAGAGGAGTGGCTGGAACACCACACCCACTTTATTAATACGGCTTTAAGGAAGGACAGATAATGCGGCAATGTAGTGCGCGGCTCCTGTGGGGTCTGCAGGCCTGAGATGAGTGAATTTGGAGCAGGGTGACTCATGGCTTGGAGAATGTCTGTGTCTGCTGAAGGAACCAGAAGCATTTTTTGTTTGTTTTGTTTTTCTGGAGGTGGGGGAAGCTGGGAAACAGGAGAATCAAGTGATACACTTCACACGGTGGAACCAGAGAGGGCATTTAAACAGGACTAAGTATTGGGAGGGTCAGGACTGAGGAATCCCGGGAGCGGAGGGCTGACAGTTTCTGAGGTGTGCTGAGCCAAGCAGATGAGCTCCGTACCCTGGGATGTAAATGTAAACAACAGCGACTCCAGGACCCACAGACAGTGTCGTGTCTGGATTATTGAATTAGGTACATGGCTCATGTTAGGAGGCCTGGGGTCCTGAGTAGGAAATTTCTATTGCTCCGGGATGTGGCTGGGTGAGCTCCTGATCTTGAAGCAGGGCGTTCTTCCAATCCATCTCCCTGATCTCCTACCAACACGCCCATCTGCATGCAGATTTAAATGTGGTCCCGAAGAGGCAGGGAAGGAATGAGGGTGGAAGCTGCATTAGGAAGAGTCTGGCAGGGGCATGGAGAAAGGTCCTTTAGGGAACTTTGCACGTGATGGAGAGTCGAGGTTTGGGGTGGGGTGCATTGAGACGTGCGTCCAGAACGACAGAGACTGATACACGCAGACTGCAGGTGTGGAGGAGGTTGCTGCGGCGGTGCTCAGAGCCAGGGGACCTACCTTTACCCTTCACCTGTCTGGAGCTTCCTGCGTGGTCCTCGGTGGGCCCTTAAGTCACTCCTCATGCCCTAGGGGTCTTTATCCATCAAATGAGGATGCTGAACTGAGTCATCTCTAGGGACCCCCCAGGTCTTCTAAGTCTGTGGTTCTGATTCTGTTAAAGCAGTTTTCCTGTCTGCCTTCTCTCTCTGCTCCTGCCCTCTCCACTGGTGGTTATTTTACTGGAGAGATGAGCTCTTGGTATAAGGGGAAATGACCCGGCCAGCCTCATCAGGGTGGATGGTGTGGGAGCAGGTATTTGAAGGGCCCTTCTCACCTGGTCTGGGCCTGGAAGGAGAGGAGTGGCTTCTTTCCACACTCTTGCAGGCCTGACTTGCTGACCCAAGTGTTGCTGTCCCCAGCATCCTCAAAAGTGCTCAGGTGTCCTCTGGATACCCGTTGTCAGCATCAGAGGTGACAGGTGGCTCAAGAGGGGCACCTGGAGAGCAGGAAACCTGGTTGTGGCTCTCAACTGCCTGGGAAGGGGTGCACTTCTTCCTTTCCCTGGTTTGACTTCCTCCAGGTTTCTGCCCTCCAGGATGGGGATTGCAGGTGGAAATCTTCATTTTGAAAATGGGAGAACCCAATGCCATGGTGTTTGCAGCAGGAATTGCAGAACCCCCAAGCCTGCCTTTGCTGGTACTTTAATGAATGGAGCTGGCCTTGATGGGTGTCCTGGGAAAGCCTCTCTGGGCTTGCGACTCTGGAAGTGAGGCCCCAGCCCTTGGGCATCTCCTAGGAACATGCTACATGCTATGGCACCCAGCCCTGATGCAGCCAGGCCTGTTTGGTCCCCGTGGTCCTAACGCCTGCCGAGGGAGTTGGCCCAGAGATGCCCAGGCTTCTTGCTGGGTGAATCTTGGCCCAGGATTCTTGGGGGAAGCTCTTCCAGAGCTGACCTCACCTGGCACTACATGAAAGCAAGCATGTTGATTCGCCGTGCAGCACACTGCCTGGCAGGCCTCGTCTGTCACCCGTTTGAGATTTAGCAGGCTCTGCATGCTGTCTTATTAAATGTCACTAATGATAAAGTGTTGGTGGTTTCCTTTGATCTAGGGTTTAAAGATGCCTTGGTTAAATAAGGCTATCTGCTTGCTGGGCCTCAGGGTTTTGGGAAGCACCTTTGAATCCTCCCATCATCCTTTGAACTCAGAGCAGTTTGGGGTCAGTGGCTGAGGATGGAGCCTCGGGGAGTGGAAGCTTTGGGCTCTACGGACAGTTTCACCTGGCTCTGAAGTTGCATCTCGGGAACCTTGGCTCTGTCTTTGGCCTTTGTCTGGTTCATATCCCCTGAGCCTTAGGGCTGTGGACTTAAGCTAAGTGAGCATCTAGGGAAAGACCAGGAGAGCCGTTTTCTTTAAAGACTTCTGATAAGGAGCCTGGAAAGCCTGGAGAACTTCTTGGAATGAGTCCATGGCATTTGGCTGGATCCACTCGGCCCCCACAGTGGGCCAAGATCTACATTTTAAAAACATAGTCTTTTGGTTTTCACTCTGTCTGCTTATAGTCATTGCAAAGATGGTCTCAGATTGTGTGTGTGTGTGTGTGTGTGTGTGTGTGTGTGGCAGTTGGGGGTCGTGGGAGGATGATTCTTTTGTTCTCTAAACTGTGTCCCTACCAGGCCTCATTTGGAAGAGGTCCTCTGAAATGCCCTGTTCCTCTTAGTCTGCCAAGAGAACATAAATAACTCCTTGCTGGCCTGGAGCCATCTCCTGGGCTGTAATTTAACCTCTGGGTGCGGAGGGTGTGTATAAATAGATTCCAGCCTGGAGCTACCCTGGCAACCTGGGCCCTTTCCTGCAATGGACACTGCCTTTGTCAGAGAGGCTTGTTGGGAAGCAGAGGAAGTTGGGCCTCACCTCCCTCAAGGCTGTCTTCAGGGGTGGGAAGGAGTCCCTTCCACACACTCTCCTTCTTGCCCAGCATGGAGGGTGTTCAGTATCTTTAGACAGTGTGGATGAACAGGTCTAGGCTTGATGCTTGGCTCCTTGGGACTGTCCCTCAGCTTAGTGGCTTTCCATAGGATCTGTTGGCTGATGTTTTTAGCAGATCATCTCTAAATGGCAGCAAACGATT